GGGTACGTTCGTTAAGTCGAACGAGTTAAACGCGTTAGTAACGAATCGTTCGAAAAGTAGTAGTCTCGCTCAGTGCGCATGCTCTGCGGTGATGACGTTTCGAACGAAACTCTAACGAAGTTCACGAAGGAAAGAGTTGGTTTACTTCGTTAAGAAAATGGCGCCCGACGATATCGATGTTTCTAAATCTACTCGAGTGTTTAAATTGTGAATTAAAAGATGAAATGATTGGAGTAACTGTCCACCCGAAGCAATCTAAGAAAAATATTTCGGATAAGGCTGTATTAGCAACATTTGTATCTTCGATTTTAGAAACAGCCATTTAGTTCTAAACGAATCGTTCGAAAAGTCTAACGAAATAAGAATAACGATGACGTCATTCTCGTTTTACTCGTTCGACTTTACGAACGTACCCTGTATGTGGCCAGCTCACGCGTCGGAAAAACTTTATTTGTGTACGAACCAGACGGAAAAACAATTAATATTGTGTATCCACAAGCACTCCAATAAATAAATAGAATTGAAACGACACTTTGAAATGTTTTCCCCATGAAAATGAATAATAATAAGTTTCAATAAAAATGATAAAATGTAAATTGAATTTTATTATAACGAGTTTGCTTGAATTTCGTTTCTTCTGAGATCGCAGCAATGCGCGACGGGTAAGCTAGTAAATTTATAAAGAATAATCTAAAGTAAAAAAGATCTTTCCAAGATTTGATTAATTTGGCATTCAAAATTTATACATATAACAGCCATGATCAAATCTACAATGATTACTAAATGTGACCTTTCGGGTCGGCACCTCTTTAGTGTCCTGTCAGGATTGACACCACCGAGTTTATCAGAACACAGAAGCCGAGATGGCAATTACTACGTCACACCGTCACGCGAGCGGTCCACTTACGGTCCGTAAGTGGACCGCTCGCGTGACGGTGTGACGTAAGTGACCGTAAATGACAGATTCGTAATATCAGCCGATCGAGAGACAGCATGTGGAAGAGATTCGAACTACACTTAACAAGGATTTAATTAAAAATAAATTGGATAAGATACAGAAGTTCTAACGTTGTTCGCGGAGAGAGAGTTCACATAACGAGCGCGAGATGCATAAATACCTGGTGATCTCCCAATGGAGCTCTCACTGGGTGATAATTCCGATGGCGATTAGTTCCACTATAATATTCACTAGCACAATGATGGCACAAGTTATCCAAAATGGGCACTGTTCGACGAAATTCCTGGAGTAATCGGTGAGGGTTTCCTTTGACGGAGGAACAGACGATGACGGCCGACTTTTTTCGGCCATCTCTGGCGATATTCACGGACGATATCGGCTGTCCACAGGTTAAAAGATCGCGAGAAAGCGTCGTGTTGCCTTCGAGAAAATGTAACGGGAGACTTTCTCAGGTAGCTACGAACAACAATTGTTACGTAACTCGAACAATATTAATATTAAAGTCTAGTTCGAATATAGGAATTTCTGCTACCTCATATCAATATCCCATGCTGGTTTATTTTTAATTCAAATTATTTAATATTTGAGTCCAACCGAGAGCCTCATAAAATCAAGCTTTAGATATTTGGTAATTCAAAACTTATTTGATATATTAACCATTTATTATATCAATAATAACTGTCAAAATCATCAGAAAAAGTTTACTGTAAACTTTATTTAGTTTGTTTTTATAGTGGTTTGGCAACAAAGTAATGACCTGAAATTTGGGTTAAACTAAAGAACATCAACTAACAGATCATAAAAAAAAAAAAAAAAAAAACTTAAAACAGTTAATCAAGTTTCGATGAAAGAAATAACTAAGCCATTTTAATATTTTACATTTTGTTGGTTCTCTTTGTTTTGTTGCTTAATATGAGAATGCTTTTATTTGCATCTTTAAATTATCATAAATTTTCAAAAGTTTTAAACAAACAAAAATATAATAAATCTAATAGAAAAAACAGCTACTCAGTAGCGTAACTAGGGTTTGTGCTGTTCAGGGCTGTTCTTGGCAGAGGAAAAAAATCCCTCTGCTATATATAACAGCTGGGAAAGTAAAAAGACATATAGCAATAGAATTGGATTAGAATTTGACTGAAGTGGATTAACAGGTAGGGGGTGTTTTGGAGCTGAAATGACATTCTGGAATTTCTTTTCCAAAGATGGTATGAGTTCTGGAACTTATACAGTATTTTATTTGAAGATTCCTGTACTTATTTATTTTTGGTAATTTCTAGCATACTTTTTTTCTTGCAACATACTTCTGTGTGTTCTAGAAACATGTTGCTAGGCTATAGGAAACACAAATCGTCTTTACGTATGTAAAAAAAAATCCTTCAATACTCCTAAATGAGCCCTTTCATTACAAATTCAAAAGCCAGTAGAGAAAATTAATGTACAAAATACTATATCAAGCCTTTAGTAATTTTTCAAGGGCTTGATATAGTATTACATAATTTGAAGCATATAAACGAATAAAAGCACTGAAGCATATTTTTCACAACCATTACAAATGGCTGACACTTTACAAGTGATAAAAATGATCCAAAAAATTGCTCTTTCAACATTTGAACTAACAATATTGTTGATTTCCTAGTTAGAATGAATGAAGATGTTCATCTGTAATAAGTTTTTTAAATTTTAATAACAATTTAAATACATTGCAATGTTGAGTAAAGTTATGTACTGTACAGTACAGTACTTGTATCATATTAGCATTATTAATTTATCCAAAATAAAATTCTGCAGAGTTGCATTTCCTTCTTTGGAGATTAAGTTTTTTGGTTTTTCTAAAAAAATCCCTAAATTCCTTTTCAGGTAAAAACACCTTATACCACACTTCAACCTGACAATCTCTAGGAAATAGCAAGCACTCTGATACTTTCTTTTAATAGCAAATCACCACTATTAATGGGAAAAAGGTAATGCAACAGATGGGAAGTCTGCTAAGGAAGAATGCCTCTCAGGACTATGAAACTGGCCCTTATTCAATTGTTAGACACACAAAAAAAAACTTGGAAAATTCCATACAGCCATACAATTACAAAATACAATACAAATTCCATACAAATTCTTGCAAAAAAAATAAAATTTTTAAGGACAATTTTTATTTGTCTCACTACAATCCCAATAAAAAATTTTTCTCTTTATTGTGGTATATCAAAAGTGCTGCCTAGACCAGGGATGGCCAACAGTTTTTGCCCCCCAAGCCAAATTGGAAAGAAAACTTTTTCCACGGGCCAAACTAGAGGCTGCCCTAGGAAGATTTTGAGGTGGTGTGAGATCTCATTGTGGTGTCACCCTGTAGAGACTAAACTGTAGATAGAGATTACAGACACATTTTTCACATTATCATGCTTTATTAACATTCTATGCTGTACTTATGAGATTTGTAATGGAGGGTTAACTCTAAACGCACGAGTTGTTGATCTTTTTTTTTCTTATAGGCGTCAGAATTTTTCATCAAACTATTCAGACTTCAGTAGCTAATATTGAAACATTAATTGTGAGCCACATAAATTCATTAGACGGGCCAAATCCGGCCCGCAAGCCGTATGTTGGCCATGCCTGGCCTAGGCCAAACTGTCCTGCTTTAGCTATTCTATTGCAGCAATTTTTAATTTTAAAAATATATTTTCTATTGTAGAAGAATGAATAAAATTGAACTTGAATGGAAATAATAAAATTAAAGTTTTTAAAAAAATTTAGTTAAGTTTAACTAACTATATCATTGTTTTTTACTTTTTTATTAGTATTTAATATTGTTAACAAATTTAATAAAATATGATATATAAAATATTATGCATAGTACTTATTAAAAAAAAATACATAAACATTAAATTATCTTTAAAATATTTTAAAGATTATTTAGATAATGATAAAAATGTAGATCATTCTATATTAATCTAAAAACGAAATCTTTTATTTTTTTATTACGTGAAGTTTTCTAATTTTTATATAATGCAATTCAGTCTATGCTGCTAAATAGGCAACTGTCTATTAGGAATAAATTAAATTAAATAGGAAAACCATAGGGAAAAAATATTCCAATAAAATTGCCTTTCATATCTTCTCATTTCTGTACTTAATTTACTTTTTCCAACATGCAAATATTGGATCAGTTGAGAATTAAATTGAACTCTATAATTATGATTGAAAAAAAAGAAAAAAAAAAAAGAGTATACATATGGCCTATATTTTTTCATATACAAAGTATACATAATATCAAATGTGAAAGCAATAGCTCAAGTTCCATAGATCAAAATTCTATAATATGTTTCCATTAAAAACAAAAATTTTTAACAGTCACATTGTAATTCAACAGTTGTTTCAACACAGTTAACTTGAAATATTTGGAATTACAATGTATCACAAATGAAATATTCTTACAATTCAAATATTCATTCCACATACAACAATGTTGATAATTTTCAAATTAAATATATAGATATTATGTAATTCAGACTAACAGTACATAATATCCATAACTTTAGACAGGTTACGGCCCAACAAATCCGTCATTATCACTCGATTATTAATTCAAGATTTTTTACTACATTGTTGATATGTTTCTTGTTTGTTTTGAATTGTATTATTAATCATTGTTTATTTAATATACAGTGTATATGTATATTATATATGTAGTATGCATATGTGTATTATATATATAGATTTTAATCATTCAAAAATATTTTAATAAAATATAACACAGTATTAAATTATAAAACTGTGCCAAAAAAGGAATTTAAATACCTTGAGAGTCTCCACCACTTGTAAACACCCCAATAGTTCTTGACTTTTGACCTGAACGTATAATACATCCTTCTAAACTCATAGGAACATCCAAAGAAGATTCTCTTTCCGACGAGAAAAATCTTCCGTAACTAGAGAAAGTCGACATGATTCTTTTATTCAACGAAATATCCTTAAATTATCTAAATTACAGAAATTATTGTCATTGCTTTAAAGTAACCGGTCGTCTGCAATGATGACCTTGGTTTAACCTCAAGTCGTCGAACAGCGCCATCTATTGATGTAATATACTTTATTATTATTATTTTTTCTGGTTAGGGTTTATATGGAGATTTTAACTCTTGAGCTATATTCTCCGACGAGATGCCGCCTGGTGGTTTGATGTAATATTCCAATTTTTTTATTAATTTACGGAAAAAAGAAATGTTCTTTTAATAATACTGTATACGATATGTAATATCCTTTACAAAATATATTTATATTTATCGATAAACGTCGTCTTTTGTGTTAAATATATTAAAGTCATAGTATTGTTTCATTCAATAGCCATGTGTCAGTTATCCGTATCAGCTATTCAATGATGTTTATTGTAAAATAAAAATCTAAAACTGTTCATAATTAAACGATTTGAAAGCGGAAAAAACACGAATTAACGCTCGAGGAAGTTTAAAATTAAATTTTAATTGTTATATTCACGCTTGGTTTGTTTTGTATAGTAATTCTAATTTATATTCAATTCTTTTATTTTCAAACTTTCAAATAAATTGCTGACCGTATATTCCATTACGACCAGAAAAAACAAACTAAAACTTTAAATACAATGGAATTTATATTAAGAGAAACGATTTAATACATTTTGAATTTTAATTACATACGAATATACAGTAACTTTTAATTACACACGTAATAAACGTTATAGAGCTGTATGTTTCGCGGCATCTTTAAAGCGACGAACATCTTAGCCTAATAATAACATTTACCGTATAATTCTTTTGAAAATAAATGCGATATTCTGAGACTTAAGATTATACATAAGAGAAGCTAAAGAATAGGCGTTACAGTTAACATTTCTAATAAACAATGCAAAATGGTACCTTTGTAAGTTTGCCGACGTTAAGGGGGGGTACAGTTTATCTCGCGTCAGAATGAGCCTAAGGGAAACCGCGTATGTGGGCGATAGCGAAGGAGGCAAATGAAGAATAAGTGTTTTACAAGAGAAAACCCTTTATTTATTCGAATTCATGCTTACATCGATATTGGACAATTCCAAAATCTCGGTGTTCCTATGAATCGGTGAGAGTTCGGGTGATCTGTCGTAGTCCGGGCGAACGAAAAGGATCGCTGGACGATGAAGATGTTCGGTGTTAAGCTGCGCCATCCTAGATGATCGGCGGTAGCACAACACAATAAATAAAGCACAACTGTAGGCTTAATCCAGAGGAGACTCTCTTTCGACCTTGAAGATCCGATTTTTATAGTTTTTCCCCCACTATTCGCATTTCGGATTGGTCCCTCGTCCCATTCCTCGCTTCCCGATTGGTCTCTCCTTTGTCTCCAGGTGCAAGACGAAACCTTTTCGGGTCGCGGAAAGATCCGATTCGAGGTATCCATCTGATACCTCTTTGTCGACTCTGCTGGATGACTGTTTATTAAACAATAACACCTGTGCTCATAACTCAGCCCGTTGTTTACCATTTTTTGACGTCTAAGAATTTAACGATCATTTTCATCTATCAAAAATTCTCCTTTTTTTGTTCGAAAAGGTTTATCCCGGCCAACATTTTATAGACTCGCGAGTCAAAGATCTACCTGTTTATGAGCGCTCGTGTTAGAGCTTGTCTTCCGCTAAGACCTTGACAGATAGTTTGACACATACTCGAACAGTTCCGAGTCTCGTTGTTTACATCTTGTGTCGCGCAAGAATTTCACGGTTTACTCGAGTTCGAAAGTCGTCTGGGATCCCAAAGTGCTCTCCGCCTTTTAAAAATGCTGCTCGGTTTAGCAATTTAGCAGCATTTTAGCTGACATCTCTGGAAGCTGTCAGTCCATGCTTTCGTCTTTCGAGAAGTGACTACAACATTGTCTGTTTTGTTTTTCTTTCATATGTGACTGACAGTGCCGTAACTAGCCATTCCTGTGCCCTGTGCAAGAACTTGCATTTAGGCCCCTTAATTAATTAGGTTTGGGAAAATAATAAAACAAACACGTGCATTTTGGGACCCTCTTCCAAATGGGTCCTGTGCGGGTGCACCTGTTGCACCTGCCTAGTTACGGCACTGGTGACTGATCTCGCGTTACATCGAAATGTGGAACTATTTTTCTTTCACACATCATTTGAACGACATACTGAATTGACTGATTGACATTTTCGCGTAACATCTCTTGACTCTTGTCAAGGTACGGATTTCTTTGATATTACAAATTTTTCTCATTTTGAGACCAAGCAATCCATATTAATCCTTAAAGTTGCATTTTTCCTTCTAAAATCCAAAAAGGGGTTAAAGTTTGCTCCGTTTGTTCGATCAGTCTGTCAATCAGAAAATATTTTTCTTTACTGCTTCCAAAACACGTGGACGTGTTGACTTCATGTCGGATGGTCACCTGTCTTTCATAAGGTGTTTGTCTTCTTATCTTCCTGAGATTCGGGTCTCCAACGGAACCTATTGGAGTACTTTGGAGCAATTGTTCTCCGTTTTGTATAGGACTGGAAAATGGAAGGATGTCTGCATGGACGGAGGGCGTCTGCCAGCTCGACTTCCTCTGCAGGCATTGCTTCTTCCGGTTGTCCGTCTTGTGAACGTGCGACAGTTTCTGCTATGCAGATTACCGCAAATCAAGATCACATAGTTCTGAGATGACACATCTCTCGATTCTGGTAAGGTTCACGTTGTGAGATTGTTTTTCTGATGGCAACTTCGACATTACTTCCGAATATCGTCATGTTCCATTGCCAGTTCGTTTCACTGTTGCTTTTCCTTGTGACAGACTTGATTGTCTCGCGCGTTTGAAATAGGAGGGACAAATTTTCCTCACATTTAGACTATATGAATCGGTCAATCAATGACACATTTTCCCGATCATGTTTTTCTCGCGACAATTTTTGATTTGATCAGCACGTGTGTGAACACAAATTTCAATTTCATTTTCCTCCGGACGAAACATGTTTATCACCAATAAAGGCACATTTGCCGAAGCTTTCTCGCGATACATATGATTACCACAAACGAGTGAATAAATTGTTACAGATTTTCTCATTGTTATTTACCTAAAAGGAAGATCACATTACTACCATTTCCGAATTCGCGACAATTAATTTGAAAGCGTACGCGTATTTACAATTGACTTCTTTCCATCTGGAAGATGACTACCTCTCTTTCACGAGAAAGAGAAGCTATCATAGGAGCGAACGGTAGCAGTCGCGGGGGTTCCTCCTTCTGCTGAGAAGTCCCGGGAACATCCGCGTCTCGCACCGTCGTCACCTTCGACTGAATATTTCCCGAAGATTTGGGAAGTACCCAGGGATATTCGCTCACAGGTCCTTGACTCCGGAGAGCGTATCGGTGTGAGGTTTGAGGAGAGGTCACGGGTCGCTCGATCTCTGTTCTTTCCGCGGTATCTTTTGGATCGGGTGAATTTTGTTGGAATGCTTCTAAAATGATATGGTCCCAGGAGTCAACGCATTCTACCTGTGGTTGTTCTGCCGTTAGAGGAGGAGTATCTTTAGTCTGCTGCGTCAGCATCCTCTCTGCCTTCATCAGGCGTTACGAATTCCATCCTTGCGATTGCCAGTTTCATCCGATTTGCGTGTGTGTGTAATCGTTTCCCGGAATGAACATGAATTACAAAATCCACGGGACTCGTTCCTGCAACTATTCTATAGGGACCGTGCCATCGCGGGGCCAATTTTCGTTTTAATCCTGTGGGGATAGCCACTTCATTGACGAAGACTCTATCGCCTATCGAAAATTTGTATGGCTTGTGCTTACGTTGATGATAAATATTCCTGTCGTTCGTAGCTTTTTCCGCATGTTCCTGAGCTATCTTGTGGGCTGAGGCCAACCTCGCTCTTAGTTCGCTCGCATAATTTTCGCTTATGTCATATCGGGGTCTATTCGGTTCGGTAACGATATCAAAGGGATAACACAGCATCTATCGCAGTGTTTGATGCATCGGTTGCCAATATAAAGGGGCTATCGAAGTCTGGTGAGCGTAGTAATGGGGCTGATATTAATGTTTCCTTTAACCTCTCAAATATCTCTTAAAACCTTATTACACACAAAATTTAAAAAAAATGACGATGCCAATAAAAGTCAATGGAATAACTAATCAAACTTTACGAGGTAAATGTTTTAAATGAAGATGAACTAACGAAGTTCTTTAGTCAGTATATCTTAAGTGATTTTGTCAAGTTAATGATAAAGTTACTTATTATGATCAAGATCCAAAGTTTGGTTTTGACACACCCTGAATCTTGATTTTTTAGAGTGCAGTCTATAAAGTACTATTAATAAAAATATATATTTGATCTTGGCATTAGAAAAAACAAAATGTAACATCTGTGTTGTCTTGGAGCATCCAATAACAATATGATTAGACAAGAATTAATCTTTTAATGTGTTATTACATCTAACCTTTTGTTTTTCTTTTGCATTTAAAAAATATAATCTATTAGTCAGGACATTGTTCTAACTGTACCTAAATTTGGGTATGATTCAACTGTATTTTATATGGGATTTTTGACGACTTTTTAATCTATATTGCGTAAATAATGCCACTAGCAATATTGGAATATATAGAGGAAATTTATATGAATAGAAGTTGCACTTTGAGATATGAGCTACAATCCCACCCCCCCAAAAAAATTAGACATATTACTCTTTTAAAACAAAGCATTATAAAATTACACTCTTCATAATTTGCTATTTTAGTGTTATCATCACTATTAAATTCTTTTATTTTTTAATTAGAGATTTTTCACACACATAATTGATTTGTTTCCACTAATTCAGGGGTCACCAAACTACAGCCCGTGGGCCAGATCCAGCCTGCAAGGTCAGTTCATTCAGCCTGCCAATGCACTGTGCCACAAAGGAGCTAAAATATAATTATTTATATGGAAATATCATAGATTGTAGATGAACTTATTATGTAAAGAAAATTAAAAACTTACTTTAATTTTCTCTAAGTAAAAATGCCAAAATTGGTCCAATCTGATTTTTGCATTTGACAGTAACAATTTTTAGTAAAATCAGTGAAATGAAAACTTTGGTGACTTTTTGTGACTTTGCAATGAAGTTTCTAATAAAAGTGATTAAGAGTTTGCTGCAGTCATTGTGTTTGTGTATTGGTAATTAAATATGTTGGTTTTCTTTATTTTTTGTGTATTCAGTATACATATTATTATTTAATAATTATTTTCTCAGTTATCTGCCCACTGTAAAAAAATTTGATGACTCCTGGTACTAATTAAATCTCATTAAAAAAGAAAAATATTTATATTATCATCAAAGTGACTAAAGAAAATTCAAGACAGTTTAGTTAAAAATAATCACACATGATATTTGTCTTTATGTTGTTATCCTAGAAAACAAGAAAATAAAGATAAGCATGTGTAACACACACCCTTATTACCATAAAAACTAGCATACCAAGGAATAGTTGCCAGAATTGAACAAAACTGTATAGTACACAGTGAGTAACAGTGATATAAGTAAGTGATTACAAAATGAAAGTAAAAGGATCATTTATTGCAGGAAAAACTACAAATAAAAGGAGATTCTAAAACTCTGTTGGGGACCACCTCCAGTGTGAATACACAATGTGATACAGACGGGCATGGAACATACAGGTATGGTATCTTGCAGTATCTCAGTCCACAGTTGCTGCAAACAGTCCTATAGTTCAGCCAAACTCCTAGGCTGTCCAACTTGGCATCCCAGACATGTTCAATCAGTGACAAATCAGGGGACCAGGCAGGTCAGGAAGTGTGGCAATGTTATGGAAGCAGTCCTGTGAAACTTTTGCTGTGTGTGAACGAGCATTGTTCTATTAGAAAATGGCTCTTGGGAGCACTGCCATGAGAGGTAACACATGTGGCTGCAGGATGTCACTAACTGGGTTATCATGGTCCCTTCGATCGCTACTAGAGGTGACCAGCTGTTGTATGTGATGGCACCCCAGCTGTGCGGACAGTGTGCCACTCCAAAGCATGGACAGAATTGAGATTTACCACAGGACCTTGAAATATAAACAGCCATCATCAGTACCCAAACGGAATCTGAATTTGTTGCTGTAGACAACCTGGTTCCATTCCATTGCAGTCCAATCCTGTTGGGAGTGACTTCAATCCAAACGGAGACAATGGTGGGTGGTTGTCAATGGTAACACATGTAATGGTTGCTGTGAAACAAAATGTCCTCAAAATGGCACAAACAGACACAAGGTCCTGTAATGATGGTGCCACCTGTCTGGATGGCGAGCAATGATATGGTTGGTTGTGTATGTGCTTGTCAGAGTACCAGGTGTCCTCTTGGCTAGTGGTCTGCCGAACATTCTGAGCCTGGGCACTGTGTGTGAGCTCTCTCTCATCCACTGGTTCCAATACCACCTTGCAGTGTACTCAGAATGACATATAGGCGTGGATTATTTGGTAAGATGACCATCCAGTTTCTCTCAACCCAATGATCCTTTCTCTCTCAAACTCGTTTAGTTTTCATATGGTTTTTGATTGCATAATAATCTTTAGTGATACAGCATCCCTCTGCAACAGGTAAAACTATAAACAGATGCCTTTGCATGCTTTTTTTATAGACCAAGGGGGATGCAGTTTAATGCTATCTGCTGGCATTATGCAAGGAGCCATCAAGATATAACTCTAATCATTTTTGTATCTGCTTGAGACTTATCTGAATGTCAAGTTTCACAGCAATATGACAACTCCTTGGTGCACTAAGTTTTTGGCAATGGGTGTATATTTCATTCTAATTATAATACAAACATCCACAAGATTATAAAGTTACAAAGAAGAAAATGCAAGTGTGATATAAATGATTAATTCTTGTGTGTGTAATCTTATTGATAGGCCTATTATTGAGTGGAACAACATAGATTTAGTAAGTGATGAAAAAACATTTGTTTAAAAAACAAACCCAACAATAATAATAATATACAAAATAAATAAAAAAAATGGATTTTTAAATTTTGTACTTTATTTAGAACTGATTCATTTTAGAATTGATGTTTTACTAAATAGAATTCTAATCATCAATCTTTAAACTACATGAAGGACTTCAACAAAGCAGTTAGAAGTTTATTGTTCATTTTTATTTTAGAATGTTTATTTTTTGTAATTTTTAAATAAGATAAACATGCCATTTTTTTCAATTTTGCTTTCAAACAATTTTGTTTAAATGATATGGCAATCTATTTTCACTCATGATTACAGCTGGGAATATGGTTTTCTCAATATGATAAACATCAGAAATATTTCAATTTTTTGAGTTTTAATTATTTAGCTAAAACTTGTAAATTGATTGATTAAATGAGACAAACAACTGGACATCCACTGTACATCATTTAAAAGAAATAATTTTGTTAACACGCATTTCAAGCTGGAATAATTTTAATATTTAAACTGAACATAAAAATATATCATTACCAAATAAGATTTTAAATGTTATTAAAAAAAGCAGACAAGTCTATATTTTGGAAACTTATTTTCAAACAATCTTGCATACTTCAAGGAGATTATACATCATGAATAATGGATGTGTTAATTGTACATAAATATAATGTTCTGTAATGACTACACCATTCACAACATTAAATCTAGGAGGTTGGTAAAACTGCACTTTTTTGACAATGAATTACTGTACAATCTTAGCGCACAAATTTTTACACAGCTTTTTGAATGCCTTAAAATTTTAGCATATATATGTTTTGTATTTATAATTCTATATTATTACAGAAAACAGAAGAAATATTTCAAGCATTAATAGAATGATTGGCTAGGAAGCCCATAACTAAATCAGAAAATGTAAAGTATAAAAGGAGAATTATTGGGGAATAATGCACAGCTTCAAATGGGTTTTTTCTTGGATTGTTTTCTAGGAAATATCTGTTAAATATAAAAGTTTATAAGAATCTTACATATCAGTATTAAAATTTAAAATCATGAAAGAAATCTGTATATTAAAAAAACAGTAATAAAATTAAGCAAAAAATATATTTGAAATTTTCTTAATTGAATAATTTCACCATTGATACATTCAAATTATTTGTAATTATATGCTTAACTATATTTATATAAAATAATTATTTATTAAATTCATTTCACATATTTTATTAACAAAATTTTTCAGTTTGTTTATTGAAGCAAAGCGGCTATTAATGATAAACAGAACAGTTTTTATAACTTAGGGCTTAGGCAGTAGTAGTATGGCAAAGTAATAGCAAGGCAATATTTTGTAATTTTAAGGACTACTATTATACATTTAGTAGTCCTTCAAAGAAATTTGAAAATGTTTGTACAAAAATTCTTGGAATTAATAATGAGAAAGTTTAAAATGGCTAATTTAATCATTAAAATGAAATTTAAATAAAAATTAATTTCATGTATTGATTGAAAATGAAGTTTCTTAAAACTGATTTAATCAAATGTCTTGGAATCTTCAAATTAAAGCCACACCTTGGCTGTTAGTAAGCACAAAAAGCAAATATTATATATCAAATTACAACCCCTTGGCACTAGTGAGGTTGCGGCTGAAGTTTTCAATGCAAAAACATGTACGTTGGATGTTCAGCACTGCCTTCATGTAAGCCTAGAAGTTTGACAATGGTATTTAGAACGTCGAGCATGATTCCACTGATGTTCCAAATGCCATTGTCAAACTTCTAGACTTACAGGAAGGCAGCGCTGAACATCCAAAGTACATGTTTTCGCGTTGAAAACTTCAGCCGTAACCTCGCTATAATTTTCCAATCAGTTCCAATATGACATAGCACAACAGCTATAAAGAACGAAATATGCTAGGAATAAGATGTTAAATTGCAGCCCAGCATTGTGACAATGTCACAATAAATACTTGCTTGTCTTAAAAGTAAATTTTATTCTTAGCATGTTTCTTTTCAATTTTGTTGTTTGTAGCTTAATACTGTGATATTCCAGATAAATGGAAAATTATGTGTAAGGGGTTTTATATTCAATTATGAATAATAAAGAGCAAAAAAATATGTAATGATCATGAAGATTTGTAGGACAGTAAACTTGATCATTATAAGTGAACATTTAAAAATAACAATGCAGCAATATTTTATGTATATAATTGAGTTCTTTGATTTTAATATTCACAAAACAGCATAAATAATTTGGATTTAAAAAATTATCATCATAATTAAAATTTTATTTTCAAAGTTGAAACATTCAAATTCACTGCAAAAATGTTTTTAAATACTGTAAATATATTGATATAAAACATAAACATTCATTGCTGAAAAACTAGCACATTGATGCAAATATTTCTGGCAACATATTCACACTTATTAACTTCCAAATAAAATTAATTTAATTATTCAATTTATAACTTTATATACTGTATAGTTATATACAATATTGGTTAAATTTTGCAATGCACAACCATTTTCTTTCAAAGAGTTGCACTATTATTACCATTTGCAATTTACATTAATTATATAAATTAATAAATAAATGAATAAATAGCTTTACTAAATACAAACTCAATCCATCTTAATGTTTTAAAGCACATTCTGTTTAAAATTCACACTCAAATGTATTCAGTTGTATTGCAGATTATACAAAGGCATTATTAGAACAGATGGCTAGGATATCTGTAACTAAATCAAATCAAAATTAATTTATGGTGTGCATTATCATGTTATTAATTTAAAATTTGTTATATTCTATTTGCTATATCCATTACCATATATATATATATATAAAATTGAAAATTCAAATTTCATATACAGGGTTTTAGAGAGATTATACAGTGTGAATACACGATGTGATACAGACGGGCATGGAACATACAGGTATGGTATCTTGCAGTATCTCAGTCCACAGTTGCTGCAAACAGTCCTATAGTTCAGCNTAAAAAAAATATATTTAGTAAATATTTTCATTACAATTAAATCAGGTTAAAATGTACTATGATTTTGAACTTTATATTTCATAAATATAAATATTTTAATTTTTAAAATATTAGAAAAAAATAATTTTACAATGTTCCATTCAAACATTGTAAACTTGCTACAAGCATGATTCAACAAATTATATATTACAGTGATACCCCAAACGCGATAGGTGGGACAGAGCAATAACAGCATAAGTCGAATTCGCGTAAGTCGGGGTATAATTTTGCAATTTGTGTAAAACCCAAATCGGATGTATGTAAGCTAATAAATGTTCTCGTTAATCTTATCTCATCTTTTGATTCGTTCATGGTTAGAAGAAATCACCACAGAGTCTCTCAAGTCTCTGTAGATATAAATAAACAACATATAATAAATTGTGGCTGTGTCGATTCCGCGCGACATGTCTGAACATGTATGCCGAACAATAGTGTGGGGGGATTGAGTAATTGAGAGTTGCTTGGCGCTCAAACAAAAGACGATTCGATGAGATTTGAAAATCACGTAACTCCAGATTCGTGTAAGTCAGGGTAGCGGAAGTCAAGGTATTACCGTATTATTTTTAAACTAACTTTAGGATAATTTGAAAACTATTTTCTTTTAAAAACAATGCTTTTTCTTTTGTTTTAAGGATGAATGCACACATGTAGTAAAGCAATGAAAGGCATCTTTGCTGTATGGCACACAAGTGGCAAATGGTAATCAGATTTCAGCACGTGTACAATATTGATCATAGCAAATGATACCAATACTATCCTGTTTACAAATTTTGTTTTGCACAGCTTACTTTCTTTAGCTAGGAGTTGAAGATTTGACCAAAAATTCTGATTACAGATATTTTCTTAGATTCAGAAAACTGGCATGCAAAATAACTTGTTCCTAGATTAAGGTCTTTCAATAAAGAATACTATTTTGAATAAAATTCATTTATTTTGCCCTTTGAATTAAATTATAAATGATTATTTGTGTTGAATTTTTGTAAATTTTAATAAAAAGAGGAGGGGGATAATAAAGTCAGTTATCAGCATTGAACTGTCATCAAAACTATGCAATTCTGTTTTCTCACATGAGTGGGAAATAAACTGGTATTGGTTGATAGAATGCATCTTGGTAGCTGCTGCTGCATAAGATACAACTCAACCAACTTTTGTGGCATGAGAAAAGCAGCATAGAATTGAGTTTTGCAGCAAAAAAATAATGTCAATTTGTCATTTTTCACTGCTAGACTGCATGTTATCCTCCTGTATAGTCTGAAATTTCATATTTAGCCAAAAATAAATAGCTAATCCTTTGCATACTAATGATAAATACATTTTAATGTTTTCAATATTCTAATCCATTACTGTGGTGTATATTTGAAAACAATATATAGTCAAATTAAGAGTAGATGCTGACTACAGTTTGACTATAAACCACTGCACTAATTCATCAACTCCAGTGATAACTGACAACTCAAACTCCATGTTGCCACAGATTATTATAAACTGGTCTCTACAGTACTTAGATTTTAAGATTCACAGAGGATTGTTTGTAATCACAAAATCACAGGATTAAAAATTAATAAAGACAAAACCAGATTCATGGAAATTTAGATTGGACTGTTGGAAAAAACAAAGTTGAGTTTGTTTACAATATAGTTAGAAAGGCTAATAGTTTCAAATTATTTAATATCATAATTACAGATAGTAAGTTAGATCTGTGTGACAATTATAAAATGCAGAAGTGAAAACAAGATACAGTGGGTGATCGGTTAACGAACATAATCCGTTCCCAGGCTTTGTTCGCTATCCGAATTGTTCGTTAACCGATTATCGATTTACCATAGGTTTNCGGTTATATAATATATTATCTATATCTATTCAATACATATATTTAAAGCAAAATGTTACATTACCTCCAACAGAAACTGAAACCAATGCATTACAAAGAAGTACTATAAATAGAGACTCAATTCTGATTGCCTGGATGCAATATAACCAAATCAATCAAATATACTGTACAACAAGTACTTTATCAAATTCTGTAATATTATGTTTCAGTTGATTTGATTTCAATTAAAAATAAAATAAAAGTTTAGTTTCAGTTTTGGTATAAAAGCCAGAGTTTCAATTACTGGCTACCTAGTATTAATAAATATTAAAATGGATAAAGGATGATGAAAACTACTATGCTCTCTATTTTTATTCAAATTACATCAACAAGGCAATAATTTACAAATTTCGGAGACAAATATTTCAGGAAATAAATACATAAATTTATAAAATTTGACCATTTATCTTTATTATATTTAGCCTACATAGTATTATACATATTGAGAGTTTTGATCAGATAATTGTAAAAAAAAATATTTTATAAAAAAATTGTTGAATCTACACTAGCATTTTCCAGCAAAATTCAGCACAAAAATAAGCCACATTAAAATCGATAAAGGTTTAAAGAAATTCTTATTAAAAATTTACTAATTTCACTTTGTATTTGATTTATATTTAAACATACCTTTAGTTCTTGAAGTTGTGAGAGGTAAAATTATTTCAGCCTGAGTGTTACATTTTGTATGAATCTAAAATCAACAAATTATTATTTATTGTGGCATTAAAAATTACAGCCCAGTATTGTGACAATCATATTTTTAATTTATTTTATTTAAAATGTATGCTCTCTACTTCAAATTAGTAGTGTTACACTGTACAGTACTTTTCCTTTAACAATAGAGTCATGCTGATCATCTATTAACTGCTTTCAGGGGAAATTTTGAATTGAAACAATGTGACTTCCAGTTTGCATCAGCAGTTTATATCAGGGTCTTCTGCCCCAAGGTTTCCATATCTGGTCTCTGATTTCATCTATCTAATTCTGTTTGAGATTAATTAATTAATTAACTTTAGTTCTTCGCCTGAGTTAACTCAGGCATGTTACATAAAACTCGGTCCTTTCGGTCCCCCCAAAAAATTTTTGTTTTTTTTTTTTTGA